ATTCACAAGATATGGAGTACAGCATAGGGAATATAGTTAATGGTATTATAACAGCTATATACGATGTCAGGGGTAGTAGATTGGGGGAGGAGGATTATCACTTTGTAAGGTGTGTAAATATCTAACTATTACATTGTTTTGTACACCTGAAGCTAATAAAATAAAAATAAAACAGCTTATCTGACATATCAGTAAAGACTAACGTGAAAAATACCTGGCAATGTTTGTAGGCAACTTTACAGTGTAGGGAAGGTAAAATGAGGAATTGCTCTGTCTGGTTTAACTATTAGCAAGGAGGCCTTCTAAAGTCTTGTCTACAATAGACTGAGCTTGGGGGAGGTGGGTACACCTCTACTTTTTTTCTTCAGAAATAGTAGACTGGTTTTTGTGGTACTGGGAAAGAGGGTCTCGGTATATTAAAACATGTATGGGGCCGGCCGGTGGCTCAGCTGGTTAAGAGCTCGCTCAAGAGTTTGAGCTCTGAGCAACAGCAGTGCGATTCCCGGTCCAAATTGAGCAGCCGCTGAGCTGCCAACAGGTGGCAGGATCGCTCAGCTTAAAAAAACAAAACAAAACAAACAAACAAAAAAACATGTCCTAAGTTGCTCCTTTAATCCTGCTCACTATTACTCTAGTATCTATAGTTTGGTTGTTGATTGTATTGGCCTATCATCTCTTGATGTAGGTTTCCTCGACTCAGCCAAACTCCCCTAGTTGTGCTGCTCCTAAACTGGGAAGATGGCAGTTTTCCCTTGATGTTTCATTTTAAATGTTAAAAAGACTTACATTTATACTCTCTTTACTTGATATTAAAGGCCAGTCTACAGTAAAATACATTTCATTTGGGTTCAATAGCCCTAATCTCATAAGCAGGAAAGGGCTCTAGACACAGCCCCTAACTAGCTATTTACAATGTACTATAACTTTGAGTGATTTCTTTTCTTTGGACCTCTATCTGTAGCATAACAGATACATTAACAGCTTTCAAACTTTTTTTACCTTGATTCATATTATAAAATAAAATTTACATTGGCCTGTGACCTCTCTCTCTCTCTCCCCTCTCTCCAATGAAACCAACTTTTCATGATATTTACTCACATTAAGTACAAAACAGTCTGATATTTGCTACTCTCCTCTATTTTATTTTTAATAAAATGCTTCCTGAGATTCACTATGTTTATTTCACTACCTACTAGTAGGTTAAGATCTGAAGTTTCAAAAACACTAGGTTATATTATTCTAGCTCTGACATTTGGGAATATTGCAAGTGACCTAAGGAACATTTTCTCTTACAAGTGGATTGTGAGTTTCTCATTGACAATTGAGTAATGTGTTTTGGCCAATTTCCTTCAAATTTTAATTATATGAGTCTTATTTCTATATGTACTGATCTTGGTTTTCAATTCTTTCCTAATAATTTACAATACGTATTCAATTAGAACTTGTTCACAGTGTAAGAATAAAAATTGAGATATAAGGAGTCATTAATATTAGCTGTAAGGAGTGTAAGGTCTATTGGGACGAGATATATATGCTAGAGTTAATGTTGGAATGTTCTTGTAGTTCACAGAGGTTTTGTACCTGATTAGCTGTCATCGAGCTAAGTTTACCTTAAGAACTAAAGCTGGGCAAACCAACCACCAGTTATCTGATATCAGATTCCAGACTGATTCAGAACTGTGACTTCCAACCACATGTAATTTAGTTTTGGAACAATGACTGACAACTGAGTTGTGGACACAGGGGAGATAGAAAGTTACCAAATGGCTACTGATGAAACAACTGCATCAGCTTAGTAAGGGATTGGCTGAGGAGGGGAGGCAGTAATGCCTTCTGAGAGGATTTCCATAACCAAGGGTAGAAGATGGGCAAATATAAAATTCACCACATGCTCATGAAAGAGTTATTTTAAAAAAAGATAGTTATTCAATGGTGTGCAGAAAAGAGTTAACATAGTATGCCTGAGACTGCCATTGGTAGAAAGGCCTGCTTGCAAGGCTGGCCCTTGGGAGGTACCTGGGATCTTGACTGGTAATCAGTTCCCTCCACTGATAGAAAACATTCCCTGATTAATAAGAGTGGTACACTGTGCCTAAACAGTTTGCATAATAATGTGGTTTATGCTGAACAACTACTTTCTTTCTGGGAGTCTGGAATTTTGGTAGACGCTAAACAGACAGCGCTTACGTGACCTGCCCCCCAAAATAACCTTGGCCACTTAGTCTCTAATAGCTTCCCTGCTCGACATCTCACATATATCGTCACAAGTTATTAGTGAAGGAATTAAGTGCATCTTATATGACTCCACTGGGAGAGGAGTCTTGGAAGCTTGTGGAAGTTCTTGGAAGCTCGTGCCTAGTTTCCTCTAAGCTTTGCCCCATGTGCCTTTTCCCTTTGCTGATTTTACATTGCATCCTTTCACTGTAATAAACCTTAGCCATGAATATGACTATGCACATAGGCTGAGTTCTCTGAGTCTTCCTAGCTAATTGTCAAACCTGGGGGTAGTCTTGGAGACCCTCTACATGAGTGATTAGTGGGAAGGAAGGACTAAGTTGGTAGGGATACAGAGTGCAAAGAGAGGGAAAAAAATTTGACTATATCAAGTCTCACGTGTTGAATGAGAGTAGTGAGTGAGCTGTCTACTTTTTAAACTCCATTCTGAGTTGGCTGATGTCAGTTCCAGCAATCTTGGTCAGGATGAGAACAAGAGGGAATAAAAATTTTTCTGAGAGGTCAGTATCTCTGTCTCAAATCCTTAATATAGCCCCCAGAATATGGGTTGTCACAACTAAGCAGGGAAAAGTAGTTTGAGTGGTTAGTACACATTTTTACATTAACATAAAACTCTCAAGGTCTTTTTTTTCATTATTTATTTATTGTTTGTTTGTCTCTGGTGTACAAAGCAACATAGTGATTAGACATTTATATACCTCTTTTTTTTGATAGCTACAGACTCTTAAGATCTTTTACAAAGCAAAGTTATCTAGACGATGGGAAACATAGTGACAAATTACAATTTTAATAGGACCAGCTCTATATTTAAAAATTTTTCTTTTTAAATGATCATACAGGAAATTCAACTTTTTTGGTGAACAGTTCTATCAATTTTACTGTATGTATAGAGTCATGTAACCACCACTACAATCAGGATATGGAACAGTTCTATTGCTTCTAAAAATATCTCATGCTCTCCCTTTATAGTCACACCTCCTTCCCACTCCTAACCCCAGGGAACCACTGACCTTTTCCTTGTCACAATAGTTTTGTCTTTTTGAGAAATTCATATAAATGGAATCACACAGTATGTAACTTTTTTAGACTGGCTTCTTAAACTCAGATACATCAAGATTGTTGTCTATATCAATGGTTCATTCCTTTTGTTACTGAGTAGTATTACTTTGTATGGATGTGCCACAGGTTAGTTTATTGTTGAAAAACATTTAGGCTGTTTCCAGCTTTTGGTGATTATGAATAGAGTTGCTCTTAACATTTGTGCATAGATTTTTCATTTCTCCAGAGTAAAGACCCACAGTGGGATTACTGGGTCACATGGTAAGTGTATCTTTAACTTTGTAACAAAGTTTTGTCAAACTATTTTCCAGAATGACTGTACCATTTTGTATTCTCACCAGCAATGTATGAGTTTCAGTTGTTCCACATTCTTAACTATACTTGGTAGGGTTATTCTTTTTAATTTTAGACATTTTAATAGGTGTGTAGTGGTATCTTATTGTGGTTTTCATTTACATTTCTAACAATTAATGATGAACATATTTTGGAATAGCTATATTTTTGAAAACACAAAAAGTTTTTAATACAAGTAAACATGCTGTACTATAGAATCTAAATATTTTTTATGGTAGCCTATCCTAATAATATTCAATAAAGGATATGAGGTTTTCCAGTGACAGAAAAATTCAAAAATTAATATAATGGAATTGAAAGAGAGAATATATACTTTTAAACCCTACCTTTTCTTGCTGAAACCAAGCCTGCCAATCCTGAAACTGTAATCACTCCAATTTTCGGAAGAAAATCTTGTGGTGGATTCTTCAGATAAACATACGCATCTCAAGAAATCAGTTAAAAATTAATATAAATGACTTACTACAACTGGGCATTCTATATAGGTATGATACAGAAAAGTTAAAGAGATTCGCTAAGATAATCGCACATGGTTTAAACACTCTTCAAAGGAAGAGCTACACAAAACAATGGTTTGAATAGCAACTTAAAAAGCTAGTTATAATAGTTACATGTTACAAAATAAAATCTTCCTCCCATAGCTAATTTCATGATGTTTATTTTCTTAATAATTCAGGCCATTATTACTCTTCAATGAAATATGATGCTAGAGTTCTCAACTTAATATTGATTACTATAAATTCCTGATTGTATATGTATTACATCCCTATGATGGAAATGCTTCTAGTCTTAACTGCCCAAACATTGGTAGGATCAGGTAAGAACTGAAATAGTTACTTTATTAGGGAACTTTGAATAACAGTCCAGGGATACATACAGCCACTAGACCCTGCTTGCCACTAATCCTCAGTAACCTCAGAGCAGCCGTTGGTCTTGGTTAAAACCAATGATCAGGTTGAGAAGTGATCCTAGACAAAAAGTAGATGGAGAGTGGGCAGAAGTCCAGATTTCTTGGCTTTTTATATATTTAAATTGTTTCTGGTTCCATACAGTACACAAACATTCTCTTCTGTCATAGTTAATTATTTAATGGCAATCACTTATTTAATCACACCCATCAAGATTGATGAGGGATATAATTTGGAATTAATTCCTACATACATTACATCATAATAATAATACATATACAGGTCATCAACATCATGGAAACATTTAAAATTTTAGCTGATCTCTGTGTCCTTCATACACATTTATTTTGACAACTGGCTTAGGCCAAAAACATCAGGCATTTGTAGCTGCTGCCAAACACTATTATCAAAATAAAGACTCAAATACAACAGCTTTCGAAAATTAACTCAAATATTTTAGGGTGACTGATTGGTACAGTGTTTCCTAGCAATCAACAGCAAAATACTATTTATTTTAACAGCAAATAGCACTTTTTAAAATTAATTGATAACAATGGAGGTATGTTTCTAATTTATACTTTATGAGTATATAATATAAAACAGACCTCAGTTTGTCCAGGTGCTGCCATCTAAAAGCTTTGTGACCTTGGTAACCTACTTAATCTTTCTAAACCCCAGGTTCCTCATCTATAAAATGGGAATAATTATAATACCAACAGTCTCAAAACTGCTATAAAAATTAGATAAATTATGTAAAATACTTATCATAGTGCCTTAGCATATAAGAACAGCTAAATAAATAATAGATACTATTGCTCTGTTATTATTATCATAAATTGCTATACAGAGTATCTTCTCAGTTGGTAAAATATGATAATGGATAACATATCATGTTTATTTTTCTCACATTTAAACCTTGCAAATTAAAAACACAATAGAACATTCCTAATTATGGATGGTTCACTCACCTACCTTTTCCAAATTGTACTGTATCCATTATCCCATTTTTCACAAAGACATAAACACCCTAAGTGAAAAGGGGGGGGGAAGGATATCTGCATTGTTGAAGATGTTTATAATTAGATCAAATAGTCCACATCTCTAAGATTACATTAAAACGTTGACTTAGCATTGCACCCAAATCTAAATCTAGCTTCCCTATTTATTCACTATGAGGATAGTGAACTTGTTGAACTTCTCTTCACTTCTTGCTTTTTATTGTATTTAACATGGATAATACTTGTTTACTACTTCCCTCATATAAATGGGTAAACTAGTACCTATAAAATAATTAGAGCTCTTATAAACATTATTGCAGAAATACAAAGTCTTATCACCTTATTTAATAATGGCTTAGAAAAATGAATGAAATTTAAATAAAACATGAAGAGAGGTATATTTCAGTTTAGAAGCAACATCTGATCAATAAAGATGCAGTAGCAACAACATAATGATTTGTGGAGAAAACAACAAAAACCCTAAAGAAAATTTCACCTTCTCCCTTTTTCAAGCGTGCATTAGAATGAGAAAAAAAATCTAAACAAGACATTTATCTCAAGATAGAAATCATCCCACACAGGCTAGTGTCCATCTTGTTTTTAAATAGGAACACAAATTCTCTACAAATCAAGATTATATGAACCCATTGGAGGGATTATAGCTTTAAATCAAGTTTTTCCTTTTACTTGTTTCTAATTTATTTTAATGCAAGAAATATTTTTACACACATTTATTGAGCAATAAGGTACTCTCTTAATTACATCAAAAGAAAACTGAAGGTATCAAATGATTTACGCATAGTAACTGCCCATAGTCACATTGTACTCTATTGAAGGAACCAGAAAATGCAATCCAAATACGTATATGGTCTCCTTTTCTGAACCAGCTGCTATCAAATCATGGGGTAAAAACAACAAAAGAGATTTTCAAAGCAAATAAAAGAAAAATGAGTATATTACACAGGAAAGAAATATGTTACTGCTATTGAGTTATTTTGGTATTATTAACTTTGTCTCAGAGATATTTTTAATGATCAGAGATGTGGAGGTTCATCCTGTTCATCATGGTCTTAAACTGTACAAACCATAAGAGACCGAAGCTGACACTAAGTGACTTCTCTTTAGAGACTATCTCTTGAGAAAACTTCACATTCATATAACACCTATTGATCAGTTAATTGAGAACCACGAAACTGGTGAGGAACAAAACTCGTCATTTCTTTGGGAAAATTTTCCTTAGCTGTGTTTAGTAATTCACTTTGACCACTGGGGGTCACTGCTACCTAAAATTCAAAACATCATTAAGGAGTAGGACTAGAAATTGAATTCACCCTACATGATTCAAAGTTTAATGCAGAATGTAATTTGAGTCTGAAGTAATTTTTAAAGAATATATTACGTTTTTAGGGGAGACTTAGAGAGGAAACATTGTTTACATTGAAGATGAAATGCATTAGAAAGTGCCCTTCTTCATGAAATGAAACCTATTCATTTCAGCATATTAACAGAATATAAAGTACTTTCAGTCTTAATTTGGGGGACAGTAACAATAGCAATTTAAGGATCTCTCAGGAATAATTTACCTCACTGAAAACACCTTTGAGAACACTATGGAAAATTAGGTCTCAGGAGACTTAAATGTGAATCATCCAGCTGTTGGCATATAGCCTCAGGGGCATAATTCAGACCCTAATTACTTAAGATAATTCCCACTGAGCTCAAACTATTAAGTGTGTAGTATAACTGGTACTATTAGAATTATTTGACAGGCAAAATTTTTCAAAAGTCACACCATATATTCATCAGATGTTTAAAATATCATCTGGAATGACCACAGTTCTCAGATTTGGTATTTCATAAGGTCATTAGAATTTTCTTTTTAAAAGTAATGGATTAGAAACAAAGGAGCACAAAGGTTCACAATTGGATAGGCTAGGTTTGATGAAAAGTTATATAGTTATTAGGTCAGAATGATGAGAACAATGGTACCAACATTGTCATTACGACACTGACACTGGAGATGTTGACAGTAACACACTTATGTTGATGTGATGATAATGAAACAACAGTATTGTATCAACTTACTCTACCCCTCTGCTGCTGGATAATGCTGACTGAAGGCTAAGTATTAAAATAAGGTGAATTCTATTTTGCCAAATGGCTGACAATGGTCAAATGGTCTTACAAACTAAACAAAACAGATGAACATTTTGCTTAGTCAAATAAGGAACAATTCAGAAGTAATTTCAGAATTTCGGGTAAAAGGCCAAACAATATTTTGTACATGTTAGGTGACATAAATGCTTGTTGAACTAGTTTAATCTATGCAGTAGTACAGTAGATTAAATATGGCCACAATTTTTTTTGCTAATACTCATATGGAGAGGGGGCATCTATTTCCCCTCCATTTAAAACTGGGTGGGCCTTAGCGACTTGATTTGACAAGAGAACGCTGCAGAAGTGACGTTCTTGCACATCTGAGGATGGGTAAGAAGCCTGGCAAATCCTGTAGGGCCTCTTGAGACGTTTTCTATAGGAGCCCTGAACTGCACATGGAAGTTATTTGGCCACCTCCCTGAGACACCATGTGTAGGTGCTTCAGTCAACATTCCCAGCTAAGCCCCGCCTTCCAGCATCTGTGACAAGTTGCCAGAGATGAGACTGAAGCTGTTTTCCACCCTCTAGATCAGACTGCCCACCTAATGAGTACCACTGGGGAACCTCTGTCAACACCATATGCAACAGGAGAATCACCTGTCTGAACTCTGATCAAATTCCTGATTCACAAAATTATGACATATAATAGAATGGTTACTGTTTTTAATCACTAAGTTTGGGGGTAATTTGTTATACATCGATGGGTAACTGCAACAACTGATATGTAATACAAATCAGAAACCTCCAACATTAAACAACTATTAGAACTGACTTACCTTGCACCAGCCAATATAACGACCAGTTGTAGTACGGATGGAAGCAAAGCCCATTTGTAAATTACCAGGCTGCTCTTCAACATATTTAGACTGAAGAGGTGGTGCAGTATATATGGGGAGCTAGAATAAAAATAAACAGTTCATGTCAAAAATATAAAATAACTGGGCCGGCCGAGTGGCACGTTGGTTATGAGTTGGCTTGGGACACCAGTTCTGAGCAGCAGGGCCCCGGTTCGGATCCCACATGAGGGCCAGTGACACTGTGCCCTCTACAGTTTAGATGGTGAACAACAGCTCGACCTGGAGCTACGCTGCCATGAGTCACCAGCGACGTCGTAGGCTGCAGTGGGGCTGGCCAGCAGTGGGTGTGAGCTTTCGTGAGCTGCTGTGAGCCGCCGTCCAATGGCCGGCGAGCGACTGCCTCTCCCGGGAAGAGCGCAATAATAATACCAACATGGGCCAGTGAAGCGACTTCCTCCACAACTAAACAAAAGGACAGCAACTTGTCTGCTCCCTTTCCCCGATTCCCCAACGCTGTTCCCCTCCCTCGATTCCCCAATACAATTAATATATATATATATATATATATAAAATAACTGAAATTACTTTTCCAGCAGTAATGCAGAATAGAAATCTTTATCAATCTTCCTGCTAAAAACAACTAAAACTAATAATAATATATTTTAAAAAAATTATTCATCTTAAAATTGCAAAAATGATCTGGTAAGCTGTTTATAAAGACTATTCAGAAGCCAGAAACTGAGCCCCTACACAAAGAATAAAAGGGCAGCACTAAGACAGGGGAAGCAGTGACATGGTCTCGTCAACAACCAACCAACCACAAAACTATCCCACCTTAGGTTCAGGGATCCACTCAGGAGGGATCTCAAAATACACAACTATTCCTTGAGGAGCGAGGGGCTTGTGCTCCACATCAGGTACCTCAACCCTTAGATTCTGCACAGGGGAGAAGAATCCCCAAAATTATTGTCTATGAAAACCAAAGGAAAAGGTAAAACTCTCATTATTGGCAGATGACACAATATTATGTATTAACAACTCTAAGGACTTCACAGAAAACTGTTAGGAATAATAAACAAATTCAGTAAATTTGCAGGAAACAAAATCAATATATCAAAATCTGTAGCATTTCTATACACTAATAACAAACTATCAAAATGAGAAATTAATAGAACAATCTTATTTACAATTGAAGCAAAAAGGATAAAACACCTAGGAATAAATTTAGCCAGGTAGGTGAAAGACCTAGACACTGAAAACTATAAGACACTGATAAAAGAAATGGAAGAAATGTACACTTGAAACCTATATAGCTTTACTAACCAATGTCACCCCAATAAATTTAATAAATAAATAAAGAAAAAACTGAAGAAGACACAAATAAATGGAAAGATATTCATGTCCATTGATTGGAGAAGTTAATATTGTTAAAATGTCCGTACTATCCAAAGTAATCTATATATTTGATGCAATCCTTATCAAAATGGGAAGGATATCCTCCCATTTTTGACAACATGAATGAAGCTAGAGGATGTTATGTTGAGTGAAATAAGCCAGACACAGAAGGAGAAATACTGTATGATCTCACTTACATGTAGCATCTAAACTAGACTCAGAAGCAGGAAGTGAAATAGTGGTTACCAGGGGTGGAGTGGAGGGGAAAATGGGGAGGTCAAAGACAATGCCAGAACAATAAGTTCAGAAATTTAATGTATAACATGGTGACTACAGTTAACAATACTGTATTGTATACTTGAATTTGATAACAGGATAGCTCTTAAATGTTACACACACACACACACACACACACACACACACACAGAAGAAAATGGTAACAAAGTAAGGTGACAAATATGTTAATTAGCTTGATTGTGGTGATAATTTCATAATGTATATTCATGTCAAAACATCAAGCTGTATACCTTAAATATATACAATTTTTATTTGTCAAAAATATCTCTACAAAGTTAAAAAAAATTCAACTCTACTGTGAGAATTCTGTCTCCACTGAGGGAAGAACAATCTCATTATAGATCTGAGGCCCTTGGGCTTAAATGTCACTTATTGTATAGATAGAACTTGCTTGTACTCAACTAGAAATTACAATTAGATTCAGTAAGCTATAAAACCACATTTAGATTAAATTGAACCAAAGTAACTAGAATGCTCAAATCAATATTCTTTTCTGTTATTTTTGGCGAAAACAAGCAAATAACAAGAAAATAAGACAAACTCACATCATAGAAACACTTAAGAAACATCCAGTGTATGGCCAACTGTATATACACATAGCCCAATTGTCAATCATTTTACAGATCTGAACACTGCAAATTTCATAGTTTAAAAAATGATCACTCCATAGCTCTCCAGAATTTTCTAATAAAGATTTAATTATATTTGCTAGATAGTACTTAATAAGGCAGGGATATGGTGATACTTTAAAAAAAGATATTTAACTAAAAAAAGACTTTCTGGTTAGCTACAAGTTTACCAAAAGATTCAACTAACCAGAACACTTCATTCATACTGTTTCGGTTTAGTAGAAGCTTTACTGTAAATAGATTTAAACAGAGGCATAATTCACCTCACACAATAAAAGTACCTGGAAATGCTGCATGCAAATCACATTTTCATTCCTTCAGAAATTCTAATTTCCTCAAGGATTGGATCCGAACTTTGTGAATAATCCCTAGCACTTAGTGGGGAACCAACTTTAACAAGTAATTAAATTTTATTTACCATATTTTTCCATGTACAATGTACACGCTTTTGCCCAAATTTGAGGAAAAAAATAAGGATGCACATGGGGGCCGGCCCAGTGGCTAGTTGGTTAAGTGTTGGCTTGGGAGCATGAGCTCTGAGCAGCAGAGCCACCAGTTCAGATCCCACGTGGGCCAGTGACACTGTGCCCTCTACAGCTAAGATGGTGAACAACAGCTCGACCTGGAAGTGGGCTGCCGTGAGTCGCTGGTGATGGCATAGACTGCAGTGGGGCTGCAGTGGGCTGTCGTGAGCTACCATGAGTGGCTGGCAGCCAGCATGAGCGGCAGTGAGCCTCCTTGAGCGGCTGTCCAATGGCTGGCAACCGATCTGCCTCAGCTGGGAAGAGTTCAATGATCACAATACCAACATGGGCCACTGAAATGACATCCTCCACAACTAGACTAAAGAACAAAAGGACAGCAACTTGTCTGTCCCTCTCCCCGAGTCCCCAATGCTGTTCCCTCTCCCAATTCCCCAATAAAATCTTTAAAAAAATAAATAAATAAAAATAAGGATTCACTTTATACCTGGGTAGTACTAATTCCATATCTATATAAATGTTTTTAATTCTCTTATGTATGCTTATGAGTTAAAAGTGTAACTGTAGATATTAATAATGATATCCGTATGCAAAATAATACCCTGGAATACCATAATCAGTTGTGTTGAACTTACGACGAACTTGCAACAACAAAAATTTCTTGGTCTTCTGTGATGCATAAATATCATAAATTAGTTACCGGTACATAAAATTTCTTGTACCTTATATCTGTTCTAGTGTTTTGTAATTATTTGTTACATAAAATTTCTTGTACCATAATATGTTTAAAAATAAATGCTAAAATTCCTTTATAATACAAAAAACAAGTACCTAAATGTAAACAAATATAAATTAAAAAATTAAAATGAAATATTTTTTCCCTGAAAGTTTGGGCCAAAAATGTGGGTGCACATTATACATGGGGGCACATTATACATGGCAAAATACGGATTAATGTACTGGGGAAAACAGTATATATCAAGGAATCCCGTGGATTTCATAATACAGTAAAGAGCACAAATTTATTTTAAAATTCAGTAATATGTAAATTCAACTATTAGGATCAAATGCTACTTATCCTCCTACCTAGATTTTGAGCTTTCCAAAGATGGGACTGTCAAGGCAGACTTAAAAACATCATCTCTCTAACACTAATAAAAAGGAGAAAGAATAATGAGAGACAGTTAAGTATGTAGGGAAGTGACTCTATCCTAGAATGCTAATAAAAATTAATAAAACTTTACCCAGTGCTTACAACCATGCTTCACACACATGCAAGAAGAGCTCAGAAAATATTTTTTGTTGAATTTTATGCATGTCAATTTGGCAACGTATTGATATTTTTCATGCATTCTGACCTATAATTCCATTTCTAGAAATTTATTATAAGGAAATAGTTGTAAATGTACATACAGATTTATGTATAAGGTGTTTTGACAATGCATTATTACAATAAAAAATTATTGGAAATATGCTACATTTTTAAAAATTATAGAAATTGTACATTTGATAATGGTACACTCATGCAACAGAATATTTATGCCACCAATAAGAATTCTGTCCATACTCATCCAACTATCTGTGGTGGAGTCAAGATTCAGATTCAGTCCTGTCTGACTCAAGTATACATTTTTAAGTATGTAGATAAATCTTACGGGTGACTTAAGGCTGGAAAAGATAAGAAGTACAATGGTGAACAGAATCAATAATCACAACTAGATATCAACAGGCTGGCATGATACTAGATCAAAGTTAAACAGGTGTAAAGGTACCTGCAACTGAGTCCAAAATGTCCAGTCACGTAAGTACATACTGGGAAAAGACAGTAGTTCCTGTAATGCAGGCCTCGTGCAAAATTGCCTCAGCTTCTTTATGTCTGCAAAGGTCTTTACCACCCCTTCATGTCTAAAGGATATCTTTGCTGGATTACTCGTGGCTGGTAATTTCTCTCTTACAATAGTTTGAATACTTGATTCTACTCCCTCCTGGCTTGTTGAGTTTCTGCTGAAAAATCTAATGATTATGTAATTGGTTTTCCTTTGTAGGTTACCATCTTATTTTCCCTGGCTGCCTTGAGAATTCTTTGTCATGAATTTTTGACAGTTTCAATATAATGTGCCTTGGAGATGGCCTTTTATGATTGAGATAATTAGGTGTTCTGTTTGCTTCGTTTTCAAGGATCCAGGTCTTTCTAGAGGTATGAAAAGTTCTCATGGACTATGTGTTTGCATAGGCTCTGTGCCCTTCTCCCTCTCTTCTTCTGGTATACCCATTATTTTTATGTTGCTCTTTCTGATGGAGTCAGGTAGTTCTTGTAAAGTTCTTTCATTTCTTTTAACTTTCAAGTCTCTCTCTTCTTCCATCTGTGTCATTTCCAGATTTCTATCTCCAGTATCACTAATTCTTTTTTCCATCTAGTCAGCTCTATTTCCTAAGCTGGCCTTTTCATTCTTCATGTCTTTTATGGAGTTCTTCAGCTCCGAAATTTCTACTGGGTTCCTTTTTTTAAAATTTCAATCTCTTTGGTAAAGTATTCATTTTATTCACTGATTTTATTTCAGAGTTCATTAAACTGCCTATCTGAGTTTTCTTGTATCTCGTTGAGCTTTTTCTGAAGTGCACCCTTGAATTCTCTGTCATTTAAGTCACATACGAGCTCTGGCTCTGACAATTAAGTTTGTGAACTTGTTGCAATAATGTTGCTAACCTTTTTTTGATATCAGAGGGATTATTCATTATGAATTTATACCAACTGGACAAACAGTTAACCAAGTTTACTATTTGGAAGTGCTGAATAGGCTGCATGAAAAAGTTAGACGACCTGAACTTGTTGCCAACAATTCATGGCTCTTGCATCATAACAATACACCAGCTCACACTGCACTGTTTGTGAAGTTTTTAGCCAGTAAAAACAATATAAACAAATAACTGTATTGGAACACCCTCCCTACTCACCTGATCTAGCCCCCAATGACTTCTTTACCCAAAGATAATGGAAATATTGAAAGGAAGACATTTTGATGACATTCAGAACACCAAGGGTAATATAACAACAGCTCTGATGGCCATTCCAGAAAGAGTTCCAAAATTGCTTTGAAGGGTGAACTAGGCACTGGCATCTGTGCATAGCTTCCCAAGGCGAGTACTTTGAAGGTGGCCGCAGTAATATTCAGCAATGAGGTATGTAGCACTTTTTCTAGGATGAGTTCATGAACTTAATTGTCCGACCTTGTATTTTCATGTCTTTAAGTTTATTTCCTGGAGATTTTTCATTTTCTTTCTGAACTGTCTTGTTACCTTGGTTATTCATGGTTAATTGATGGATATTTCTCTTCCTAGGAATCTACAGAAAAAAATTCTGCAGCAGGTTGATACGAAGTGGTCTTTCTTTTGCTCTCCAGTAGGTAGTGCTGGCATTTTTCATTTTCTCTTGCTTTGTTCCGGCTTCTCATGGTGAAAGATTTCCTAGGAAGGTAAGCATTTCCTCGGTAACCAGGTCGCCTCAGTCTCAGGACACCACCCCCATGGGAGGATGAGGTGGTCAATGGGGTTCTGAGCCACTGAAATCCAAGTGCTGCCCCTGCAGCCAGATACAGAGCTGTGCTGGGCAGTCCTGGGTGTCCCTGCTGGGATCAGCTGGGAAAGGTGGGATTGGGTTGGGCTGGGAGAGGCCACCGGTGTTTGTGGCCTTGTTCTCCTCTGAGTAATGGTGACTTTCAGACCACAGCTGCCTTGCCCCTATATCTCCACCCTCTTTACTGGGATTAACCACAGTGTGCATCTGCCATTCAGGAACTGTCTATTTCTCGGTGCTGTAGATATTCTTCTCTTTAAGCTGACACTGCTACAGTTTTTTCTGTAGCCTGTTGCAAGCTCTGGGAGGTTGGGGGGACGCAGCCAAGCTCCATGGCTTTGTTTTCTGCTTGGCATAGCTTACCAGTAGCTCATGTAAAAAATGTTTAATGAATTTTAGAGAACTGCAAGTTTACTATGTCACGGTCAAAGGTCATAAGGTTGATTGCCAGGACACAAAACAAATGTATATACCGAGGGTGCCAAAAAAATGTTACATTTTAAGAGATGTTATCTATGTATTACTTTTCGAGGTTGAATTGAATTACAGTAGCATTGTGTAGTATGACATTTGCTCAAAGATGGCATTTGTCAAATGAATGCTAGCATCGTTCATTGTATTATAATTTTAACACAGTTTTTTCCTTTCTTAAAATGTGTATACATTTTTTGGCACCCCCTGCATATAAAAGCAAATGTAATATTAGGCAGCTTCAATTGAAATATATTATCTAGAACAAGAGAAGTCAGAGTCTGACTCTATCCAGCAATGGTCAAAATATTTACACCTGAAGAAAATGCTAACCATCCTTAATGTGTTTGGCAGAGAATGATCACCATAGTGAAGGAACTCAAAGCTGTGACATATGAAGAATGGTTAAAGTTACTAATATACTTATCCAGGAAGCAAAACGAATTAAAATGTAACTGACATTTGAAGAGTTGTTTTGTGGAAAAGAGATGAGAAATTTTCTGTGTGGTACCAATGCAAGAGATACAGAGTTAATGTGTAGAACTTATTATGACACAGGTTTGTGTCTGACCTAAAGAAGGATCTTAAATTGAAAGAACTGCCAGAAAATGGAATGGGCTGCCTTAGGTTCCTTTACTTAAAGAGTTTTATTCATGTAGAACAGTGGTTCTCAACCTGTGGGTCGTGACCCCTTTGGGGGTCGAACGACCCTTTCACAGGGGTCGCCTAAGACCATCGGAAAACAAAAAGATATTTACATTATGATTCATAACAGTAGCAAAATTACAGTTATAAAGTAGCAATGAAAATACTTTTATGGTTGGGGGTCACCACAACATGAGGAACTGGATTAAGGGGTCGCGGCATTAGGAAGGTTGAGAACCGCTGGTGTAGAAGATAAATGACCACTTAGTGTGCCTATGGTAAAGGGGATTACAGTAACATACAGAAGGCTGAATTAGAAAATCTCTAAGATCACTTTCAAAACTGAGACCTTAATGAATTTCTTAAACTAAGTCTTGCAAATATCAGGCGTACCTGTATAACATTTTGAAGAAAGAAAAACTGGACTGCTTAGAAGTACTAAGACCCTGTACTACTCATTGATTATTCATTAAGAAAAATCACCAATTATTTTTTATTGGATATGGATTTTAGATGTTTGGATTAAATATAATACAGTGTTTATTTTGAGACACCTTATAACTATTTCTCTCAGCTTATAAAATGTGCCTAACAAATATTTCAAAGACATTTTTGATGAACAGAGGTAACAACAACAACAAAATCACAGCTTTTGCATCACATTTATAATCCACAAACATTTGTGGGCAACTTACCTGCTCTGGTTTCACTAGCTGCTTTTTGGATTCCTCTTCTTTGGCTGCATGCACACTCATAGAGGCACACATCAGACCTGCAGGCATGCTTGTCAGCTTTCCCATCTGAGAAAGATGTATCAAAAATACATATATTAATTGAAAAGCTCTCCATCCTCCATTTCCTGTAAAACTTGGGGGGGGGACCTCTGAGGAACACTATAGGTTTCATTTAAACTTATTAAAAACTCAAGCATTCAAAATTACTTCTTCAATCATTTTTAGGATATAATTCCTAAACTTCTCATGCTATATGGTGGAGTACTATTTTTACCAATTAATTAACTTCCTACTTCATACGGAATACAGCAATATAATAACTACTAGGAAGAAGTGAATACAATATTTGAAGGACAAAGTGGGATAGATCATGCAATTCATTCAGTCCACAAATACTGACTGAGCAACTACTATGTGCCAGACCCTGGTCTCAGTGCTTAGGATACACCGGTGAACAAAACAAAGATTCTTGCTCTCATGGAGCTGACATTCGAGTGGAGCAGAGACAGACAATAAACACAATAAATAAATTATATAGTATATTACAAATTGATGAATACAATGGGGAAACTAAAGGAAAGGGTGATTTGAAGTACTGGCAGAATTAGGTTGCATCTTGAAATACAATTTTATTTACATTATTTATTAAAATAATTGCCTTTCATTACAAATTCTTTGCCCCTAATTTTCCCAATGCATTCCTGTTTTGCCTGTTTCATTCTTAGTCTAAAGCCAAAAATGACCTTTGTTTTGGATATAACTTGATTTGAAATAAAAATGCAGGAAAATCACTGGCTCTAAGAACAAAGTGTTGTAGTAATTATTCAGGTACCAAAATAATTCCCAAAGATTATCCATTCAGTAGGCCAAATAAACAGTTTTCCAAGGAACAAATATTTTAAGAATTTTATTCTTTAGAAGGGAAAGGAGCCTTGCTGAAATCAACAAAGGACATCCAAAGGAAAGAGGTCTCTTTGGCTTACATACAACTGTAATTGTTTAAGAACCGGAAGAAATACGGGCCAAATCTAAACATTCTCTGATAGTAGTGCCTGTATTTCATTTTTGACACATTATTAAATATCCTCTGAGCAGATTATGGAGAGCTACAGGAACAAATTAAGCAATTTCCTGTTAAAACTAGCCATCACTCTGATTTAGATTGAGATTCCAGAAATACAGAGTAAAATGAAGACTCAACTCTAATCTGAGAAACTTTGTTCACTATTTTCCCTGCTTAAAGCCTCACTCTAGTAGTATGTCAGCATCACAAAATGATTTATCTAGACCTGCCTTCCCAAAAGACATCACTTTTGATTTTTTATGTTCAGTTGGTATTCACTCATGAAATAACAAGATTTCCACTCCATACCTTTGTCAGGTATCAATAAAAAATCATATTAAAACTGATGCCAGCAAGGATGCCCTCCCACATACATGAGCAATTTTGTTAATAAAGCTCTGTAGTGATTATATGAAAGATGTCAATTGTTACAAGATTTAAAAGCTATGTATAAACCACCTGATTAGACCACACTCTCTAGGTATAAGAAAAACACTTTCAAAATATGCTAATATTTGAAAATTTTCCAACTACCTAATGTTCTCAGAGTGCAATCATATTACTTCACATATTGTAATAATAACAAATACAGACTATAAAATAAATTCGTAGGTATTGCTTGATAATTATGATCTAGTGCTCTAGAGTCTGTATTGATTAACTGAACCACTGTGGTTTAAAAAGTTAACACAACTTGAAAAATGCCTAAGTACCTTCACTACATTTTCTACTCAGTAGGGCAGGGTCCATCCACCTTGACCTTTTTGATGAGGCAATGTGGCATAATGGGGGAAAAAAACATTGGTTTAGGAGTTCTACAGACCTGGTTTTGAATTCAAGTTGTGGAATATACTATCTAAATCTGGGCAAGTTACCTAAGCTCTTCGAGTTAGGCTGCCCAATATGGTAACTACTAGCTACACATGGCTACATTAATTTAATTAACTATAATAAATAAAATTTAAAACTTAGTTCTTTATTTACACTAGCCCCATTTCAAGTGCTCAACAGCATATTGCAGAGCACAGATATATAATAATCCCATCATTAATGAGAGTTCTACTTGACAGTGCTAACTTAGAGTCTCAGCCTATATATCTGAAAAAAATGGAAATGTCTTCCTTTTTATGATTATGAGGATTAAATATTTAATGAAAATGGCTTACAATTGGTAAATGGGCAATTAATTTTAGTTCCCCATTCCTTCTGATTGCTGAATAAAGATGGTAAGCAGCTATACTTACTCCCCACTTTTCGTCTCACATGTATTTGATGTTAATCAGGCTCTAATGAGAACTATAACAACAATAAAAAACATCATACCTAGTGCCTCTAAACACAAAAGGCCAAAATTTTGATCAAAAGAAAACAGGCAGCTTGGCACACTCAGGCCTGTTAAAAACACAGGTAATACTGATGAAGAAGGCATCACCATCCAAATAGAGGCAGCTGATTGTATAAAATACTGAAAATGTAGAATAGGGATGAGCAAACTGCAGCTCTGGTCTAAATCTGTTCAGGACTCTGTGAGCTAAAAATACTTCTTTAAAAAGTATCTAAAGATTTTTAAAAACAAAAAATAAACAAAAAAGAACATGTGATCTATCTGTCCTGCAAACTGTAACATACAAGGAATGACAATTAAGTTCGGGACCTTGTTGCAATAATATTGCTAACCTTTTTGGGTATCAGAGGGATTATTCATTATGAATTTGTACCAACTAGACAAACAGTTAACTAATTATACTATTTGGAAGTACTGAAAAGTCTGCATGCAAAAGTTAGACGACCTGAACTTTTTCGCCAACAATTCATGGCTCTTGCATCACAACAATGCACCAGCTCACATGGCACTGTCTGTGAGGGAGTTTTCAGCCAGCAAACTAATAACTGTATTGGAACACCCTCCCTACTCACCTGATCTGGTCCCTGTGACTTCTTTCTTTACATGAAGATAAAGGAAATATTGAAAGGAAGACATTTTGATGACATTCAAGACATCAAGTATAATATAATGACATCAGCTATGATGGCCATTCCAGAAAAAGAGTTCTAAAATTGCTCTGAAGGGTGGACTAGGTACTGGCATTGGTGCATAGCTTCCCAAGGGGAGTACTTTGAAGGTGACGGAAGTCATATTCAGCAATGAGATATGCAGCACTTTTTCTATGATGAGTTAACGAACATAATTGTCCAACCTCATATGAGGTGTGATCAAACAATACGGTGAATGTCTAAATAAAAAAATATTATTACAGTAAAAGACACATTGCCATTAATCTGCCCTCAAAATACTCCCTCTCGCTTCGAACACACTTATCCCTGTGTTCTTGCCACTTTCTGAAGCAATCCTGAAAGTTCTCTTTTGTGAGTGTCTTTAGTTGTGCTGTGATGTCTTGAATCACTGGGAACGAGCCAGAAGTAGCATGGTGCCAGATCCGGTGAATCAGGTGGATGAGGACAGCGGTAATGTTTTTATTTGAGAGGAATTGCCATATGCCAGAAGCAATGTGTGACATGGAGCATTATCATGATGGAGGATGATTTATGGCACACTTTAAAACACACCTTCTCTCAACCATAGCTCACACTTGACTGACTGCACCAAACAAGTTGAAACGTGTCACACACTGTTACTAAGGTTTAAGGTGCTGCTTCCCATACTGAAAATCCCTGTCTTTTCATTGGATGGCACTCAGCAGAGCATTCACCATATTTTTTTATCACAACAGAAAGGCTCCATGTCATGCATCGCTTCTGGTATGTCAATTTTTGTCAAATAAAAACATTATGGTGTGTCCTCATCTACCTTATTCACTGTATCTGGCACCATGAAACTTCTGGCTCTTCCCGAAAGGAAAACATTTTCAATTGATTCAACACATTGAGGCAGCCATGACAGTGCAATTAAAGACAGTCGATGAAAGAGGACTTCCAGAACTGCTTCAGAAAGTTGCAAGAATGATGGGATCAGTGTGTCTGAAGTGAAGGGGAGTATTTCGAGGGGGATTAATGGCAGTGTCTTTTACTGTAATAATTTTTTTAAATTTAAACATTCACCATATTTTGTGATCACACCCCATATTTACTACCTGGCCCTTTACAGAAAAAAAATGCCAACCCATGATTTAGAAAATCAAATATTTAAAAAGTATCAGATTGGGGGGTATTGCAAAAACTCACAGGCTCATAAGGCTGATAGTTAAACAGAATTAAAATTGAGCAGAGATGATTATAGTTTTCACAAGAAGGTAAAACCTTAAGCTAAAATTATTTGTAATTTCAAACTAATGACTTGTCAATTCAAAATTGTAAATGATTTGTTTAAAATCAATGAGAGATAGAAACTGGCTTCCCCCAAAAGATAACAGGTTCTAGAACAAAATTCTATCATATAGATTTATAAATTACAAAATTAAAGATGAGCATCAGGCAACTCCCCCGTAAGACTCAACGCTTCCAAGTGCCTCTGTAATCAAAATTAGTTGATTCTCATTTTTTGCAGTAGTTATATTCCATAAAATAGCCATGAACACTGGTTTAGGGAATACTAAACCAGTGCTTCTAGGGAAAATATAGGGTTAATTTTTTATGAGCCTTTGGCTACATTTTTATCAACTGATCAATATTTAACTTTCTTTTATATGTATTTCTGTTTAAGGACACCTTAGTTAATATATACTATTGATTCACTAACATTGAACTCACTGCCAAGAGCACTATAAATCATGCATGAACAAAGTTTATCGAACATATTATTTTCTTCTTGAGGCATGGCACAGCTTTCTTGCCCTTACAAACATTAAGTAGCACTTCTGTACTATGCATGGGAGCCATTTTAAATAGTGGCACCACCAAAAAAACCAAAAAGTGAAAAAAACGTAGCACCACAAAAGGGGCGCCTGTTCACAGTATGACAGCTGAAACAATAAAGCAGAGCTCTGACTTGCCCAACTTCACTTGGGAACATAAACATGAGTTTTGTCTTCTTTACTAACAGAAT